AGCATTCCCTGTGGTGCTTATGGACGCATCACATCCTGGATGTTGTTCTGACATCTTTTTAATCCCCCCTCCACCTCCAGCTATGATCAAAGGCGTGTTGCTTCCTCTCACCACAAATGTACCTCCACCACCTCCGGCATTTGAATTGCTGGACGACTTCGATGCACCTCCTTTTTGACCAACAAGTAAACGAATGATCTCGCTTTTTTTCAAATTAAAGTTTCCAATCATCCTTGCCCCTCTTCCTCCGTTCTTGATGACACTGCCCTTCCCGTACCCCCCTGAGGCTCCTATTGCTTCAATTCTGTATCGACCAGTGTGTGGCACAGTCCACAGTTGAATACCGCTGGATAATGTAACTTGTCCGTCATGGTCCTGACCTGTGTAGTGACTACCGATTGAGGCTGGACCCTTGCCGCCTTCACTCGCATCAAGGGTTGTAAACACAGCTGAAAATCCTGCGTAACAAACACGCAATATTATGAAATTTATCATACTTGCGATGAATTGTCAAATTATATTGCCAATATCGCCAACTGCCATGCTTGAAAAATGATTACTGCAAATTAGGGGAAATTAGATAAAGAAGAAAAAGCTCCTGAAAATTATACGAAGAAAGTTAAACTGCCTTCTTAACACTTCTTGAATCCTGGAAGAACAACAATGCTTCCCAGACTGCTTCCGCTTTCTTCTCTGAATGAAGGCCATTTCTATTCCCTATTCACAGTATACTGATATGTATCTAGTAACAAATTCATTCCACATTTCCCTGCGTCTGTTCGATAGAAAGATCAGAGACGATGTCAAAATGTAATAAGAACAAAAAGGTGGAACTCGAGGCGCAGCCGGATATGTCACTGAACTTCATTTCTAGTTCTAGAGTAAGAAAAATAAAGCCATTTAAACCAGTTCCTGTATTTTTTTTGGTTTTGTTACAATTCTCCTTCAAGAAAAAAGAGAGACAGCTTGATATGTTGCATCTCGTTACCTGTGCATTTAGTCCCATTTCCTTTGAATCCATCTTTACACGTGCACTTGTAAGATCCCAGGGTGTTGTTACAGTCAGCATTCATATCACAGCCGTGAGTTCCTTCACTACATTCGTTGGAGTCTTGAACACAAAAAGGCGGGCATATCATGTATATGAGACCCTTTTTTTAGTACCCTCAGATAATAAAGATAAAAGACGGAGTCTCAAAATGTTACATTAATAGTTATTAAATCACCTGAGCAATAAGTTCCATTTCCATGAAATCCATCTTTACACGTGCAGTTGTAAGATCCCAAGGTATTGTTACACTCAGCATACACATCACATGGGTTTATTCTGTCGGCACACTCGTCTATTTCTAGAATAAAAAAAAGAGGACCATCTAGATCACTTATATTACTTCACAGTCTACTTTTGATGAAAGTTACCACAGAAAATGTGAGGACTAGTTACCCGTGCAGTTAGTTCTATTTCCATGAAATCCATCTTTACACGTGCACTTGTGAGACCCCAGGGTATTGTTACACTCAGCATTCATATCACAGCTATGTGTTCTGTCAGAACATTCATTGTTATCTGCATCAACAAAAGAAAGTTTATTATTGTATAATAACATAGGTATTATCATAAAAACAGACCACATTATATCTTATAGCAAGTCACCCGCGCAGTTAGTTCCATTTCCTTGAAATCCATCTTTACATGTGCATTTGTAAGATCCCAGNGTTTGCATGCCGACCTAGGCAGGAGTAAAAAAACATCACCATGCTTTGAAAAATTTATCTACAGTCACAAAGACACGCGGGAGGTTGCAAGACCTGTCAAGGAGTTACAAACAAATCCCGATGTTTTGCTAGATTTCACTAAACTCACAAAGACATACAGGAAGTTGCAAGTCCTGTGCAAGAGTCACATACAAATTCCGATGGTTTTCTAAATATGACTAAACTCACAAAGACCTCCGGAAGGTTGCAAGACTTGGAGAGGCACCATTACGCAAATAAAATGTTTTGATCATCATCTTGTCGTATGCTTTATCTTTCACCACACATAGCCGTAGCTTTTCAAATTCTACTCTTTCAGGAACTCACAATAAGCTTCAGTACATTCAAATAACTTAAAAATTTTATTCTCAATCTATGCATATATTTTACAGCAATTATAATTTGCAGAATAAACTTAAATACTCAGAAGAGGCGAGGAGCTCGGTTCTAGCAACTTGAAATTTAAAAATTTGAAATGATTTTAAATTTAAGGAGGAATAAATTAGCCCAAAACACGCTTCTTGCTCCCCAATTTGCCTTCTCACTTTTCGTGTTATCTTCAATCTCCCGTTTAGCTCCCTTAATTTTCCTGGTAACTTATTCGAAAATATTTTATGCTTTAGTTAGAAAACGGACGCTAACTGATCGTTTTGTCTATTATAATGAAATATATGAAGTTCATATATTTTGAACTGCGGTATTAGATACATATGATGCACGATCCTCGCAGAAGAGAGCGCTATTTAAGCAATAGCGAAAATCAGACCTGAAAAAGGTCTATCGCAGAGGTCAGTGGTTCGAATCCCGTACAGGCCTGATTTTCTTTTTTTTCAGCCCAAAACACGCTTCTTGCCCCCCAATTTGCCTTCTCACTTTTTGTGTTATCTTTAATCTCCCTTTTAGCTCCCTTAATTTTCCTTGTAACTTATTCGAAAATATTTTATGCTTTAGTTACAAAATGGACGCTAACTGATCGTTTTGTCTATTGCCATCACCTTTTTGTTGGATGATGTATTGATATCATTGGGAGGAATTACTTTGAAATCCCCCCCCCCTCCCCCCTGGTGGCTAAAAAGAATGTTCATTAGGAGTTCACTGCATTCAAAAACTAAATGATGACATGGCTGTGAAATGAGATTTAGTGCCAGATGAGTGTAAAACATCTCAATTGAACATTTCATTACCAGCAGTGTGAAGTGGTCAAATTGACTTTCTCACCTCCAGGATCTAAAATTTAACTCTTCTCATTGGTTATCATAGATTTCTTGGTGGGCTAGTCATGGGAATCTTTCATGGTTAAATCCAAACAATATCCTTACTTGGAAGTTATCTTCCATCTCAACAGCAGTTTGTTGATAGTGTGTTAAAATGTAGACTATATACCCTTGCAACACTGGATAGTAAGAGAGTTTGAAAACCCACATAATGGGAAAAAAATCACGTTTGAAACAAGCTCTTCGTCAGAGATTTCAATTTTTTCTTCTACTCAAGAGGGGCCATAGTTCACCTCCACATCTCCCATGCATACTTTATTCTTATTTCATCAAAGTTCCCTTCAGCCTTTCACATTTTTTAAAATAAACTTAGAAGCAAAATAACTTCGAAAGTGTTAAACTTGTATGCTACGCATGTAAAACATGCGTAGCATACAAGTTATCATTGATTTCACGTCAGCAAATCAATGATAAGTCATTAGCAAACCGCGTAAGCTATCACGATACTCGCAAGAATATCGTCTAAATTAATGGCGATGTACCTGAACACGAGTGTCCATCGCCATTGTATCCCTCTCTGCAAGTACAGT